CCGTGGACGCGGTACATTCCCAAACGTTTCGCCGGCATCGTCAGTGAGTCTCGCCATTCGTAGCACCATACTACAACTCGTCAAAGAGACAAGTGAAGCCCATCCTTCGACCAAACGTGTGCTAAACAGTTATGGTATCTCACCTTCTGCCCTGGCCTATTAGGCTTTTTAATCAGTCTACGATATTGCATATACACATTAACGCGTGCAAACTTAAGTACAAGTAGCATGACGAATATGAAAGATAATTAGCCAAACCATTTTCTATCTTATTTTTCGTTTATTAGTAGGGTTTCAACACTACCAATACATCAGTTGTGGGATGTATTCATTCTATTTCATTTAAGATGATTAAGGTCTGATAGTTGAATTTCCATACAATCATAGGAGTAGAGATGACGCTTCCATTGAATTTCACATAGCCTTGCTTTCACAAAAGGTGATCTCATCCAGGCTGAGGTGGACTGCAGGTTTGCGGCTCGCTAAGGTCTTATCAACACCCTCGGAGGGAGTCGAGCCATGCCAATCCAGCGTGTAATCCCGACACATAAACCACTGAGCCACATTGTCACTAGTGCCCTTGGGTTACAGGACAGATGTTAATTTCAAGGAAGGCAAGGCATCTTCCCATATCACATTCTTTGGTGGGATTATCGCTTAAGCAAAGTGATATTTGCTATAACAATCGACTAAATTACTACGAAAAGATCTGGACGGGCTCCAAACCGCAGTCCATCCTGGAAGAGAACACCTTTCGGGAAAGCATGGCTATGTGAAATCCAATAGAAGCGTCAGCTCTATTCATATGATTGTGGGAAAATGCACCTATTAATCCTTCATGCTCTTAAGCAAAATAGAATGAGTACATCTAATTCTACATATATTTATACCTATACATTTTAGTCCTTTACTTATAAGCACATATAAGAGGTTGAATAGAGCCGGGCAATCTTCTTGAATTAATGTTTGTAAACTTGAGGCTTCTTTAAGAATGAGGCCCAGCTTTGATGGTGTCAGTTAAATGATGGACGAAAACTGAGCCCGTTTTCACCATAAACGAGTGAGGAGGTCTCGTGGATTGCGTTAACCATAATGTTGTATTAACGTTCAACGGCTTTGATAAAACTTGAATCAGCAGTCGTCTTGTGGTGGAATCGACCTTCAAATCTCTTATTCATGCACCTACATACGATATTAGTCTCTTCAACAAATAGACAACTGTTCACCACTAAATTCACAAACACAGATGAGGTTGATGAGACTATTACAACTACTCGAACAACTGTTACTGTCAGTACTGTTAAAATTGTCGTGAAGCGAGGCGATTTCTTGCTTAATGCTAGAACAAATGTATGGCTGGAAAGAGGACACAGTTCCAAAGGATGAGCACTATGCAAGAGGGTGTCCAAAGTGTGTTGTCAATACGATGTGCTCAGTGAAGGTGGACAAATGAGTGTGGGGATGAGGTGATGAGCAGTAGTCGCTCGTGCTTCATGGCATAACAAATGATGGCTATGTGAGTTGTGACGCAATTAGTGAGGGGTAATGGCTCAAGCTAAATTACCCTCGAGATGAGATTCTGCCTCAACGACCTTGGTGCAATCTGATTCGAAGACAAAACAAAAGTATGGAATAATAGGAAGGCAAGAAGAGGAAAAAACGGATGAGAGAGTGAGTGAAGAAGAGAGCAAAGGATACAATGCAGAAAGGAAAAAAAATAATGCAATGTTTGAAGTGTACCACATGGGGTCCCGGTGTTATTAGCCGAATAAGGTTCTGTCCACAGAGCGCGGAAGTGAGGATACCGCCTCCGGATGGGCGTTGTCGTCAAGACGCTCGGAACCAGACGAGACAGCCATTCCGCAGAAAGAGAAGATACGATGGCGTGCTCGACTCGATGTCCGAACATGTTTACGGAGGCTGCAGATGCGGAGAGGCTAGATAGGGGTCTGGCAAAGTCGTTAGCAGTAAAAGAGGTCTTGACAAAGGTGAGAATATAAGACTCGCTGTTCCGTCGCAAGCCGACACAAGCGTAAGAGACGTAGAAGGCTCCAGCTAAAGATGTAGTATACAGTTTAGATGAGCTTCCACTTGCGAAAGGAGGCAGACTAAGCTCAAGTGAATTGTTAGCCTCGTTTCGGATGCTGAGAGTCAAGCCGACAATGGCGAATAAAGCAAAGAACATGCGTCAGTCCTCACAGCTCCTGCTGGTCGGCTCTGCCTGAAAATGATGTTAACAAAAGCTAAATACTGGCTTTTTGGATGACAGACAAACACAAGCTTCTGCCTTATTCCAATGAATATATATATATATATGTATATATGTATGTATGTATATATACTACTCATTTATACCTATGTTCTACCAGAATGCATATGCATATGTAGATATGAATTCTGGTAGAACAAAAGCGAGCCTATCCCCAAAGCATTCGGAAAATTGTTGTTTCAACGGAAAGGATTTGGAAGAGACTATAAAATTAGGCAGATGCAATAAACAAGGTAGCACAATGGATCATCAACAGGACATGGAGCTGACACCGATTTATACCGACGCGTTAGATGCACAAAAGTAAGATCTCGGCTAAAATTTAAACTGAGAATATGACCTGAATTAGGCCCTTTAAAAAATAACAAATGCTTTCCTAATCGACAAGCGAAATGTAAATATGATATTAGAAAGTTCTGGGTTGCCTTCAAATTCATATCTACTCGGTCACTAACTCAATGGTATATGTAGGCGTTAACAAAGTGATATAGTGTCCCATCGGTGCTCATGCCTTGAGTTCGAATTTCGTTGGAGGCTCCGACAAAACGATGAAGTCAGTTCGAAACTGCTGTTCAGCCGGAATTCAGTGGCCTATCAGTCGTTAACTAACCAAAAGCTACCTAAACTTGTTAAGTTCTTATTCAAATATATTTCTTACTAAATGAGTATTAATTTTAATTTAAACTAATAATCACTTACTGTCTAGTATTAAATTACAGCCAAATATAAATGCAGTCTATGAAATATATTCACCCAATTTCGTTTGAGATGATGAAG